GAAACGATGTGGGTGCTGGCTTATAGGAGGATCAAAATGCATCCAAGATCTGTATTTATAATTTTTAAAAGCCAAGAAGGGAGGTCGATGAATTTCTGTTAAAAGCCATTCTTGAGTTACTTGTAACAGACATAATAAATATGTTTACAGGGCATAAATATGTTTACAGAGCATAAATATGTTTACAAGGCAAAACCAACCATTTAAGTTTAAGTGAAATCAACAAAAAGGAAGTAGGTATTGATATGTAATTTAGAAATTAAAGTTAGTCCTAAAATGTAAATAAAATATGGGAAAGTGTCTTAAAAATTTTTTTAATCATGGGTTAAATTTTTTTAATCATGGGTTAAATTTTTTTAACCCACAGCATTTATGCACTTGATAGGGTATAGCACTAAACAAGCATCAGAGACTGATAAAAGTATTTTCTCTTAAATCGGATGAGGGATAATCTAGGATAATGAAAAATATAAATATTACTCATAACATATTTTGGAAAAATTACAGTCAGTAATTCCATGATGCTAAAGATAAATATTTCTGCAGAAACAAAGCCTCACTACCAGAATTTAATTTTCAGTCCAAACAAACCATTACCTGTGATTAATGGGCTGGAGCAGGTACACCACCACTAAGGGGCAGGACCAGTTGGAACATTTGGTACGGAAATTCTGTTCAGCTTTAGAGCAAAGAGCACACACCACTGACTCACCTAATCTAATTAAACTTTTCCAAGGCTAAACACTGTGTGTCACAAGCAAAGCCACTGAATTCCTGTCCAGAATTTTTGCCTACCCAATTGTTCCTATCTCTCCCTAAATGTTTTATTATTTTTGAGTGTATCTTTGAGGTCTGGTGGGGACACAATGATTAAGCAGCCTTTCAAGCTCAAAGAATAGAGCAGAGCTGAGGCCCTAGCAGCCCTCACTTTGCTCTCTGCTACACAGGAGGTTTAATTGTTCTACATTGTTGTGTGTCCTCCTTCCTCTTTGAGGCATTCTGGTGTGAGCTTTTCTGTCTCATGTTGAGTGAGGACAGAGCAATAGCCAGAGGTGACACAGAGACAGGGCAAAATTGTTTTAAGGTATTTGAATTGAGAGGATGTCCATAGGATTTGAGCTTAAAGCCCCTACAAAGGTGATATTGAAGACCCATTGAAGACCTTCCCCATCAAAACCTTCAATAAGCTGTTATTGTCCTCACCACCACAAGAGTGTGTACATACATATATACACACACACACATATATATCATATATTCTTTTCAACATACTGCAATTGTTTCCCCCTTCTATATTCAAAACACTACATATTTTAGCTTTAAGATTTAAGGTTTTAAAAAATATTTTACTTATGTATTTTTAGAGAGAGGGGAAGGAAGGGAGAAAGAGAGGAAGATAAATATGGATCCGCTGCCTCTCTTATGCACCCAGTCCAGGGCCGAAACCTGCAACCCAGGCACATGCCCTGAATGAGAATTGAACCAGCAACCTTTCGCTTTGTGAGGCAACACCCAACCAACTGGGCCACACCAGTCAAGGCAAGTTTTTTTAATGAAAGCGATCTTCTGAGCTCCCAAAGGGAGTTTTTTCATTGTAATTAATATTGAGAAATACTTCCTCTACTTCATTTTTTGAAGTACATTTATGCAAATTATACAGTAGTGATTTCCAGCCACTGAGGCAGAACTGGGCATGTGTATCTGACCATGAGCAGTCCCACATAAAACTAAGTACATGTGCAGCTGGAACATCAGAGAAGGAAGACCAGCATTCCAGCATCCCCCCAGATATAATGCTATCTGCCACTGAGGGGTTACATCCTGGACAGAACTGTGCATCCTTATAAAAGAAATATAAACTTCCGGTCAAAATGGAGGTAGAGGTGGATACACTGTGCCTTCTCGCACAACCAAGATAGGGACAACAACAATTTAGAAATATAATAACAACCAGAACTGACAGAAAATTGAACTGTATGAAAGTCAGACAACCAAGAAGTTAAAATAGACATGTTCATCCAGACTGGTACAAGGGACGGAGCTGGGCAGCCAGACACGGGTCACAGCGCGGAGAGCAGAGAGTGTTGGAACCAGGTGTGTAAGGCATCCGGGGTGCACAAGACTGCAGCAGGTGGACCCAGAGCGTGCAAGCAGCAGCTGTCAGCTAGCAGCTGACAGTGAGGCGGTGACTGTGAAGCAAGGCACTACGGGCGACCCAGGATCCCAGTGCCAGGAAATAGAGCCTCGGGACACTGATTGAAAACACCTGTGGGGGTTGAGGTGCAGGGAGAGACTCCCAGCCTCACAGGAGAGGTCCTTGGAAAGTCCCACGGGGTGCACAAACCCACCCACATGGGAATTGGCACCAGAGGGGCCCAGTTTGCTCAGGAGAAGTGGGGGAAGGGACTGAAGTCCAACAGAGAGCAGAGCAAGCACCATCATTCCCTCTCAGACCCTGCCCCCACATACAGTCACAACCCAGCGACTGCGGTGCCCTGCCCTTGTGAACACCTAAGGCTCTGCCCCTCATATGTAACAGGCTCGACCACACCAAAGGAAAAAAAACAAGATGGCTCAAACAGAAAAACAAACAAAAGCCCCAAAGCCAGTACTTTTAAGTGAGCAAGAGATAGCCAACCTATCAGATGCACAGTTCAAAGCACTGGTGATCAAGATGCTCACAGAATTGGTTGATTTTGGTCAAATTAGATGAAAAAATTAAGGCTACAATAAGTGAAATGAAGAAAAATACACAGGGAGCCAATAGTGATGGAATGAAAGCTGGGTCTCACATCAGTGGAGTGGATCAGAAGGAAGAAAAAAACATACCATCAGAAAAGAATGAAGAAATAAGAATTCAAAAAATGAGGAGAGGCTTAGGAACCTCCAGGACATCTTTAAACATCCCAACATCCAAATTATAGGGGTACCAGAAGAAGAGGAAGAGCAACAAGTGGAAAACTTATTTGAACAAATAATAAAGGAGAACTTCCCCATTTTGGCAAAGGAAATAGACTTCCAGGAAGTCCAGGAAGCTCAGAGAGTCCAAGGAGGAACACCCAAAGGCACATCATAATTACATTAGCCAAGGTAAAAAATGAAGAAGAGAATCCTAGAAGCAGCAAGAGATAAGGAGACAGTAACCTACAAAGGAGTTCCCATCAGCCTGTCAGCTGATTTTTCAAAAGAGACCTTACAGGCAAGAAGTGGCTGGAGAAAAGTATTCCAAGTCATGAAAGGCAAGGACCTACATCCAAGATTGCTCTATCCAGCAAAGTTTTCATTTAGAATGGAAGGGCAGATAAAGTGCTTCTCAGATAAGGTCAAGTTAAAGGAGTTCATCATCACCAAGCCCTTATTTTATGAAATGTTAAAGGAACTTATAAGAACAAGAAGATAAAAAACATGTATGGTAAAATGACAGCAAACTCACAATTATTAACAACCACACCTAAAACAAAAAAAAAGGAACTAAGAAAACTAGAACAGGAACAGAACCATAGAAATGGAGATCACATGGAGGGTTAGCAACAGGGGAGTGGGAGGACGAGAGAATGGGGAAAGGTACAGAGAATAAGTAGCATAGATGGTAGGTAGAAAATAGACAGGAGGACAGTAAGAATAGTATGGGACATGTAGAAGCTAAAGAACTTATGACACATGAACATGAACTAAAGGGGGGGGCATGTGGGTTGGAGAGGGTGTGCAAGGTGGAGGGGAATGAAGGGGGGGAAATGGGACAACTGTAATAGCATAATCAATAAAATATATTAAAAATAAAATACAAACAAGGCTGGGACCAACAGAGACATGTCCTCAATTTCACTACCATGGAGTGTCTCTGATGTTCCTGGCATTGGATTAAAGGATGCAAATAAAACAGAGAAGAAGGGGGAGACTTTTTCTTCCAGAGCTGTCTCGGCTTAGGCTGTGTAACAAATTACCACCAGTCTGGAGGCTTAAACAACAAGCATTCACTTCTCCCTTCTGTAGGCTGGGAAGTCCAAGATCAGGTGCCAGCACATCTGGTGTCTGGTGAGGGTCCACTTCCTGGTTTGTAGATGGCTCTCTTCTCATCCTGTCCTCACGAGGCAGAGAGTAGAGAAGCAAGTTCTCTAGACTCTTAGAAGGGCACTAATTCCATGCAAAGGCTCCACCCTCATGACCTCAGTATCACCTCTCCCATCTCCTGATACCATAACATTGGGGTAGGAAAGAGTTTCAATATACAAATGCGGAGGTGGGGGGCACACAAACATTCAGTACTTGACAGAAGCCCGCAGTCGGTAAGAAAGACACTTTACGCAGGTTCGATTCCCAGTCGGGGTACATGCCTGGGTTGCAGGCTATGACCCCAGCAACCGCACATTAATGTTTCTCTCTCTCTCTCTCTCTCTCTCTCTCTCCCTCCCTCCCTTCCCTCTAAAAATAAATAAATAAAATCTTTAAAAATTTTTTATATAAAAAAAAGAAAGACACTTTAGACACTAATGGTAGCAATCCATGAGATCAGTGCCACTGCAGCAATCTACCAAGTCCACTGGGAGCAGAGGACAGAGAGAAGGTAACTGTGCTTAGAGGAGGAACTGAGTCCCAAGGATGAAATGACATTTCAACTAGAGCTAAACTAGGCTTGTAGTTAGTGTTGAGTTTTCTCCGAAAGTTATTTGTTTTCAGCTTATCATTGATTCAGAGCATCTACAAAAGTGACCTACTGAATTTTCAGAGGCAGCAGAATTTTTATAAGGGTAATAATAGATGAAACTTAACGGCTTTACTTACCCTTTATGGCCAGTAGCCCATGTGCATTCTTCAAGCCCACTAAAGTCCCTAGAAACCTTCATTTGCTGCTCCAAGCTTACATTTCATCACATACTTTTTAATTTTAATGTACATTGGTAAAAATTCAAAAGCTATGCATCTACTTTTAAACTAAACCATTTTAAATAGTCGCTTTCCATGAACAATAAGAATTTTACAAGATGATTTCTTACTCTTACCTCCATGGGAAAAGCTTTGAAATTAACGGTGTGCTCAGAACCACGCTGGTTTTCTCTTCCCCAGTGAAATCTGACTTCATACAGTTCAAATTCATGACCTTGAGGCAACGGACCTCCTGACAGAACTGAAAAAAAATAAAATAAATTCTATTTAATTACATCTCAAACATATTCATCAGCATAACCACTGGGGACATGCTTTTCCAAAAAACTCTCATGAGCTCTATAGATTAAATTAATATAGCCACAATGAGAACTACCTCACAACTGTGAGATGAATTCACACTATGTGGGTTTGGCTGAAATTCTTATAGATACAGTACAGTTACAGTTAGATACAGTTAATTCTTAATTAGATACAGTACAAGTTCAAAAACTCTGAAATACTTGGTATGATATACATATCATTTCATTTCAACTTTTTTAGTTTTAGACCAAAAAATATGCACTAGCTATACTCCCTGAGATATAAACTTAGCACTGATCAGGAGACAAAACTATGGTTTGAGTCTCAGGCTGACCAGTAATTTGCTCTTGCTGTATCAATAAATCAAACCTTGCTTACAGATCACCCATTTGTAGCAGCAAGCTTTCAATTTAGAGAATAGGTGTAAGCTAATAAAATTATCTCTGAAGAGAATTATTATTAAGCCAATCTGACTTTTCAGTGTCACATACAATGCAAACAAAATTAAATTATGGTAAAATATTAATAGTACTTGAAATATGAACATTAGTTCTATAAGTCCCTGTCTGTATTTCTCATTTCTGAATATGACCCAGAACTTTGTCTCAGATATGGGCACTCTAAAAGATAATAAAAAATAAATTTGTACAGGAACCAGTCTTGAAGCAATAAAATACTTTCTTCAGTTAAACACTCCCTGATTATCATATGGAAAAACCTGAAATAAAGTTTATTAGAAATGGCTGATTTCAATACAAATAAAGTTTGTTTGCATTTTTCTTGTAAAAACTCTTCATTCTAAATGGTACCAGCTCACCCTGGCTGGTGTGGCTCAGTGGATTGAGCGCCAGACTGCAAACCAAAGAGTAGCTGGTTCGATTCCTAGTCAGGGCACATGCCTGGGCTGTGGGCCCAGTAGAGGGCCCAGTAGAGGGCTCTTGAGAAGCAACCACATATTGATGTTTCTCCCTCCCTTCTCCTCTCTAAAATAAATAAATGAAAATATTTAAATGGTATTGGCTAAGAATTACAGCTTATTTTTTAGTCAAGGACCTGACAAAATCCATCCCATTCCCCCAGAAGTGGTCTCTCTCAAACAGACTGTCACTGACACTGGGTTGCCCTTGTGGAGAAGGCAGCTGCATCCAAACTGCTCTCCTGAGGAACAGTTGGTTATCCATCCTTACTCTAAAACTTAAAGGAGAAGAGAGCAAATTGGTATAACAATATTTACTTGTTTGGTTGGTTCTTCATCCTATAACTTGTTCCACAAAAAAATGTATGCTGCTTATATCAAGGTACATATAAAAGGGGCAGAAGGCATAAATCAGAGAAAAGAGCAAAGGTTAAATACAGAGGCAGAAAACAGATGAAGAAATAAGGCCATTGCAGAAACAAATGTCATCAAGTCCTTGCTAAAAGTACCCAACAAATTTGCTTATAAGTTTTCTACCAGCTCAAAAAAGAAAAAAGCTACAGTACGAAGAGCAATTTTAATATTTCATGTGTATGAACCTCACATCAAGTGGGAAAGGAGTGAAATGCATGGCCTTGGGGATACTATCTTTCACAATTTTGATGTTCTTCCTCATATCTGGTTTTACTTAAGTCTCACGACAAATCAGGGTGGTTGACATTGTCATCCACATGGACAGGTGGGAAAATGTGGCTGAGAACAGTTAAGTGTGTCCTGCCTGACCTCCCAGCTACCAAGCTCCAGGAGCCTGGGACTCTAATCTTCTGACCTATATCTCAGGGCGAGACAGGGTTGGGGAAAACCACATTGCAGTATGAACTGAGCATGAACTGAAAGCATGAACTGAAAAACAATGAGTCCTTGAAGTCTAGATTTCTAAAACTGCAGTCCTGTTTCCCATGACAATAAAAAATGTAAACACATGGATCACAAAGGGCTGCAAACACCCAGAAGTGCATTGTGGGCTCACTGAACACCTTCAGTAAGCATCCAAGCCATGGATGGAGGAAGGTATAAATGTTTCTATTTCAACCAGGGTGCCAGTTTCTAAATAACCTCAAAACCCACTCCTCCTTCACCATGGCTATCCAAACTTGGTCTTAAGGAAAACCAGGAAGGAGGCCTGGAGTCTACCCATAGTGTACCCACTTCCCAAACCAAAAAGAGGGAAAAGCTTGGAAGACTCTCGCTGTACCCCAGGCCTCATCATCAACCAGAGAGCACACCCCTCACTGTGTGCGAGCACAACCTGACCTGAGGCTTCAGAGGGGTGTGTTTTGTGCCACCCTGCTTTTAAAAGAAAGTGAAAATTTATCTCCAAGGAGGCTTAGCTCCACACTGCTAAGGAAAAAGAAAGAGGAGCATTGTGAAATAAAGTTCATTTGAAATGGGAAAGAGGATTAGAAATTTTTTTCCCAAAAACCTCTTCTTGCATATACCCAGCACATGTCACACACACACAACACACACAGACAGTGTTTCTAAAACTGCTACCGGGCAGTCTACTGGTGCTTCCATATGAAAATGGATGCTATGACTGATCTTCACAGTGATTTCAGGAGGCCAAAAGAAGATCCATTCTTCAAAAACAGAACCCCCCGCCTGAACAATGCCCAATATTTCTTTAATGAGAATGAAATGCTTCATTTAAAACATGGAGATAGAGCTTATATTGTTAAATGCCCAGGAAATTTGAACTCCACAAATCTATGTCTTCATAAGGAGACGTTCAAGGCCCACAGGAGACCCTTGCTCACCTGCATTGTACCAGACTCTGTGTTAAGTGTTTAAGATACACTGATTTTGACAAAACAGACAAAATTCCATGGTCTTGTGGATCTTCCATTCTATTGGATTGACAATGCACACAAAGAAAAGAAACATTTTGCCTGTCCTGGTCCCCAGGGAGAAGTGATAAAGAGGCAGCCTTCAGCTGGGAATCAGGTGCTGGGGACCTTTCACTTTTGCTGCAGATGAAAAATCCAGAGTTAAACCCCACTAAAATCATGTGGCTGTACAAAGCCATAAAAAATGACAACTACTGAAATTGGAATTTTACAAGGTGCCTGGTAAATATTACCTGTTCATCTCCTAAGAGCGATGGTATTTATAGACTAAAAATGAATAGTAGCTCTGTTTTACCCATTTGGCAACATCCTCTGAAGGCATTTTTCTGCCCTTTTATAGCTTTTTTAAAATTAGGAAACCAGTCATACCAAAAGGTGTATACTCTTCCCAAATTTATGATTATCAAATTTTGTTGAGTGATACTTCATCACTATATGGCAGGCTTATTACTTGTGATGCCATTAAGCTCAATAAAATTTTTTACAATGAAACAACATAACACCCATACTGATAACATGCTGCATTTCCTTAGAATAACAAACTTGTGAAAAATATAAAATAAATTGATGTCATTGCTGCTGCATCCATTTTCATTAATATTCTGTAAGAATCATGCCCATCAGACTTGTGAGATATAAAAAGAGGTCCTTCTCCAAAACTTAAGGGACAAAATATGGTTCTGTCCAGAAAAAGCCCAGCCATTGGTAATATAATAAGAACAGCTTCTGCAACATCAAGTGGACTGAAATGCACATGTGTGAACAATTACGACTTCACTGTACTAGTCAGTGGGGGCAGTAAACACTGTTGAGTGAGTGTGTGTACTATGTGGTCATCACATTCAAAATGACTGAGTGAATAGAGCATTGAATTTGCATCAAATTCTGCATTACGCTTGAACATTCCCCCATGGAAACCATTTGAATGATTCAGAAGGCTTTCAGGGATGATGCAATGAGTGCAGAGCACATAAAACTGTGACACAAATGCTTCAAAGATGGTCAAGAATCTGTTGAAAGTGACCCATGTTCTAGAAGGCCTGCAACAAGCAGAACACTTGAGAATGCTGAACATATACAGGCTGCAATGAACAAAGACCAGCCACTGACAGTGTGAAAACTAGAACCTGATCTGGGGATTCCAAACACTACTGTGTCTGATTTGAGGCAGGATATTGGCATGAAACAAATCATGGCAAAATATGTTCCACAGTGTCTGCTACCAGAGCAGAAGGAACAGCCTACTGCAGTTGTTGATAACTTGATTCAAACCACTACCAAAGAACCAGATTTCCTCAAGGTCATAACCACAGACAAATCCTGGGTCTATGGCTATGATCTGAAACGAAGGCCCAGTTGTCCTGAAGGAAATCACCTGGCTCTCCACGCCCAAAGAAGGTGCTTCAAAGTTGCAGCAAGATCAAGACTGTGTTAACTGTGTTTTTTTATTGGGAAGGTGTTGTCTATCATGAATACACCCCTCCAGGCCAAAAAATTAATGAGTACTACCTCAATATTATTCCTTGGTTGAGGGATGCAATGTGACAAAAAGCAGCCACAGCTATGGGAAACTGGTGATTCACAGCTTCATCGTGACAACACGCCCACTCATCTGTCACATCTCGTGCAGTTTTGGCAACACATTAAATCACCCAAGTGACTCAGCCCCCTACAACCCAGATCTGACACCCTACAACTTCTGGCTTTTCTCAAAACTAAAATCACATTTGAAAGGGAAGAGATTTCACACCATCGATGAGATTCAGGAAAATACAATGGGGCAGCTGATGGCGATTCCAGCAAAGGATTTTGCAGTGTTTTGAAGAGTGGAACAGATGCTGGGAGAACTGTGTGAGTTTCCAAGGTACCTACTTTTAAGGGGACTGAGGCATCATTGTCCTATGTACAATTTTTCTTGTATCATGTATCTTCTTCAATAAATGTCTACTTTCATATCATGTGGCTGGATACTTTCTGAACAGAACACACACACACACCTAAATCTATTTAAGCTTCTATATCCTTTGTTGAAAACAAATTTGCCAGATACTTTAAAGGCTGATGTTCATCAAAGCTTAGCTCCCTCATTTCACTTGAGTTCAACACACACATTTT